CATTGCTACAGTATAAAAAGATATTATTCCAATTGCAACCAAAGTTACCAAGAAAAGCAAAAAAAATTGCCAAACAGGGTCAAAATGAGTGTTCAAACGTATTTACTGTGGAAGGACAGTCGCTAGCGCAACTGCCCCCTAGCACTCCTCTTTCGGTATTTGCTGATGAATGATATTGGTAAAATCACTTTTAACCGAAGGGGAAGGGTAAACTGTTATCATGCCAACCCCTGCTTAATTGTCAGATGTTAGTCCGAAACATTGAGCTCCACACAAACAAGCAAATGAACCTAATCAACTCCTAAATGTCAAACTTTCAGTCTCTCTAATGCCAAAAGTATCTTCTTTCTTGAACCATGAAAGAAGAGTTAAAGTGAACATAAAATGAGCAAGAGACAAAGATTTTGGAGGGTGTGAGTCGAATCTATTACTGATATTAACAAAAAAGAAAAAAAAAAAATAGAAAAGAAAAAAAGAGGAGCATTTCCTAAATCATGACCCACGAATATAGAGACACTGCCAACTAGCTGCTTAGAGAGGTTGTATCCAATAAAGCCAGTATTAATCTTCATCTAAAAGCATACTTCATATAACGTTGACACCATTTGATGTAGGGGAAAGCTCTAATACCAAATTAATGCAGAAAAAGAAGAGAGGATAGATAGGAAAGAGGGAGAAAATAGAGACAAAATCTCTAAAACAACATGCTCATTAATCAACAATCATTAAAAAGTGTCCTAATCGAAAGTACCCCGCCCTATATATATATATATTGACAATAAAATAAAATCTAATCAAACACAACTATCAGATAAAATCCTAAAATAAGAAAACTCTGAAATAACCCTAATCTTATCTTAATATATATATATAATTTTATAAAATATCTGATTTTGTTTATTTTTGCTCCAAAAGTAAATGTCAATCACGTATGACTCGTGCATTCAAGTCACATCTTGTTCTTATCACAGTCTTCACAGAGTGCCTCCAAAACCCCTAATGTTTGATAATTGGATTTGTATTAGCCATGAGGCAGATACTCAAAAGTCACATCACCTGAAATTTTCACCAACTTTGATCTGGTTAGAAGAGTAATTAGGTTTAAAATATTGCAAACGATTATTACACACATATTATGACTCTAAAAGAACAATTCAATGAGTGATGTTGCATCAACCAGGAGACGCAATCTTGTATTTCAAACCCAATTGGAGGACAAAGCTGTGTTACTATTTTGACTCGAGGTAAAACAAACAATAAATGAAATAGGGTCCAGGGCTCAACAAAGAGCTCAACAAAGAATGCTGTGATGAAATGATAAAACAAGTAAAAAATGGCATATGTCATAGCTTATAAGTATTACCTTTTCGGAAAAAGTCAATTCAGATGGTTTCACACATGATGATCATAGAAGTTTGAACTAATAATAAGGAGCCATGTGTTTTAAAATTCCAGCTGGAAAGCTAGAGGACCTTAAGGTTGATATACAGAGGAAAGAGTGAAAAAGAGGCTCTGAACAGAACAGAAGAGAAAATTTCATCAGTGTCCAACAAAAAAGAGAGAAGCCGGGAGTTCGAAAATAAATAAACTAGAAGGTGGAAGCACTGCTAGAGAATGGTGGTGATCTGTTCATTAGCAGCCAACAATGACTTAGACATATACCTTTCAGCCTAATCTTAGCAGCTTCAAGAAAAATTCACCCTCCTTCGGAAACTGTTCTCTGTTTTAAAAAATTTTGTAACTATTTTCAGAGTTACAAACCAAGCATACCTTTAGGATTTATATTAATTTAGGTGTATGATATTATCGGTTCATTGGATCAGAATTATTCAATGGCTAAAATTGGTAGAATTGTTTAATTTCGGATTTTAGGTTGGGTTCAGATTGAACCCAATCCAATCCGAATACGATTGGGTTTTGGTAAAATCCAACTAATTTGAGCCCGATTTGTAAATTTAACAGTCGAAGTTTCAAAATTATTGGGGTTGGGCTGCTGGAGGTATCGATGTCCTTTCAGACCTAGCTAAAGTACACACGCAATCACGCATTCCTTACCATTTATAATCGAGGGAGGGGGGAGTGGGAGGCAATAAAAACCCTAAAAGGCTTCTTCTACACGAAGCACAAAGATTCTCTTATGCAACGTTCAGAGCCCTTAGGTAGAGTCTCGTACATCTCCGGCGAAGGAGGAGGAAGGCACTTAAAGATGGTATCATTGTTTTTGGTTGCTAGTTTTGGTGGTGGGCCATATTGTGCTGCAATTTATGAAATCAAATTCGTAGGAGGAGGAAAAATTGGTTCTAAAATTGCAAGAGTTAGTCCCTTGAAGAAAGCGTTTCGTTGCTTAGATGAAGAGAGAGTATATTCACCGGTTGGTTGTGATATCATAGGATTGAAAATGGTCTTGATGGCTTCATATTGGGATCTGCATGACAGGTCTTTGCAGTTTGAACCCATTTGTTTCAATACAAATACCAAAACGGCTTTCGAATTGCCGTTGCCAGAAGCAAAAAACCTTATCCCCTACTGATGAGGCTGACCCTGACTATGGTTTTTTTGTGCTTGCTGGAGCTACTTTGTATTCGTCCTACAAAATACGCTCTCCGTGTTTCGAACGTTTAGATCCTTTGGATGGGTGGTATGATTCGGATTATAATGATTGTTCCCTACCTAAGTATCCTTTGGACAGAAAATTACCCAGAATTATCTCTAGTTACGCAGTCATTCACTACTGTATTCTCATTTCAGTCCATGATTTTCTTCATGGTAACCCAGAATTCTATTATTACAGAATCGGGAGTGAAATGAAGAACTGGCAGGTCATCAAGAAGGAAAAGGAGAATGGGTTATATTACCCGTTCTTTGGAAAGGCTGAATATGTTGGATGGTTATTTATACACTTTCGGATGTAATTATAACTTGATTGCATATCAAGTCGTTGAGAATGATGGTATCATTCAATCTATTGGTGTTCCAGTGCATTTTAGAGGACTGGACTTTAAAGATCCCGCATTCTCTGGTTGCTTTGTTCATTTGGGATAGAAAAGATTTTGTATGATGAAGACTGGTTTAAATGTTGACCCCTCCAACTTTCAATATGTTCCCATCTTGATCGTCCAAGTTTCTGATGACATGCACGTTTCAACGACGTGGTCAGGTCTCTGTGCCTTGAATATGGAGAACCTCGCCCCGGCAAATCTAACATCACTTTGTTTGGACTCTGAGTAAGTATTCGTGTTTGTATTTTTTTTGTTGTTATTGTGTATCCTTTCCTTATTTTCATGGCTTCTAAGAGCCTGTTTGTGATTGCTTCTCGACTCCTTAAAAGTGCATTTATTTTAAAAAATAGTTACTGGCGTTTGAATATATTAGTTACTCTTTTTTATTAGACAATTTTGTCCATATAATTTTTTTATAATGACAATTACACCCATTTAAGTTGCTATTATCAAATATGGTATCATCATATTAAAGGATATTTTTGTAAATTCAGCAATATAAGTGTTTAAAAAAAATTGTTACCAAATACTTTAAAAAATAATTTAATTTTGACAAGTACTTATTATATTGGAAGGTGTGTTTGATTGTGTTGATTATATCCGTGTATTGAGAGTTTTTGTTTGTTGCAATTAAAAAAAATTGTTACCAAATAATTTAAAAAATAATTTAATTTTGATAAGTACTTATTATATTGGAAGTGTGTGTTTGATTGTTGATTATATCCGTGTATTGAGAGTTTTTGTTTGTTGCAATTACCAGCCTTGACAAAAATTAGTAAGTTGCATGATTTGTTGAGATGATCCTAAATTTATATTATCTAAGTATGAAGGGAAATGTCCTGCATTTAGTTTATGTTTTATTGTAATGTAAAATAAGAAACAGGGAAAGTGACAATGTTATATATATCTTTATATATATATATATATATATATATATATATATATATGGTTGTTGAGGGGTATAAATATGAAATAAAAACACGAATAAAGTTCAAGAATTGCTAAAAGATATGCAACCACAAACCTGTGATACCTTTTCTCCCATGAATCCTTATTAGGCTGTGTTATTCCAATAATATTTTTCATTCAAAGAAATTTAATTTTATTAGCAAATGGTGAAATATTGCTGCTGTGATATTGTGGCCTGAATTTTGTTTCGGCCCGCGCTGCGCTGCGACACTATTTAGACCCGAATAGTGAGTTGTGTGGGACTAAAAAAATTGTGACCCATTTTTTGCTTGCAGGCCGTGGACCCTATTTAGTACTCTATTGTAGCCTGGTATATAAGGGCGTATAGTGTTTGGAGTTAGGGATGGCTACTGGGTGGGTTCGGTACGGGTTTGAGTGAACCCTATCTCACCCTTTTAAGAAATCCTTCATACCATATCCGTTAAGAACCAAGGACGGTTTGTTGGTAAGAATACCATCCCCGCCCCGCTCTGTTAAAAGGCCCAAAATTTTCAAAACCAGATGATGCATTTAGCAATCCACCATCAATGCAATGACAAACATCAAACCGATTTGCTAATCACAACACGCACAAGATCTATGCCTTTTAGTCACCAAAACTGGAATATTTCTTGCTAAGAAAGCTTGGAGAAAAGTTCAATATGAAGATTTACGTTTATGGCAATATAAAGAATTATATATATATATGTTGAAGCAAAATTCTGCACGACCCGGATTAGCACTCTTTCCTGCAAAAGAAAAGGGATGCTGACTGAGGCCTGGCATCGGCGGGTGCCGCCCGGGTACCCTCCGACGATCAAGTCATTTTTGGGACATATACAATTGAGTAATACATATACAATTTATGCATGTTCTACAGTTGTGAGCCATTAAGTAATAAATCTCTTAGATGCACTTCCCTTTTCCTACATTTTGTTTCTTAGTATGTAGTAAGGTGGACTGCCATTATATTAAGTTGAGAGACAAAGCCTTCTATCTTTTTTGTCTTTTTTTTTTTGTATTTTATTTGACTGAAGGTCTTTTGTTTTGCAGGCACAGTAATTATGCCTACAAGTCTGAATTTTGGACAAGTATGAATTGTTTGACATACAGTTGCATCCATCTAAAGGCTGCAACTATGATTGTATTTTACTTATATATATATATATATATATATATATATGTTCGTTGTTATTATAAATAACAATTATAATATATAGCAATCTTTTGTACATAGTACTTTGATCGAATGTCAGCAAAGAACACAAAGTGGAAAGGGTTTTATTGCAGGAGGTCCTATTGTTCAGGCAGAGGAGTTTGAGGATCTCGATGTTGACACGCATATGCAGCCGGTGAACACTGATCCACCAAAGCCGGAGTCAGTACCTGAGGTCAGTCAATCTGCTATAAAACGAGTTGTCTGCTTAGCCTCAGTTTTTAGAAATACCCCAATCATACTGTTTTCCTTTTTTCAAAATATTTCTTCTGTCGTATTTTACTACTTTTCGAAGAATGAGTTCTTAATTTTTTAGGGTGTTTTGCAATTAAGTAAATCTTTATTATTTCCTTTTCACTTCTGGGTAAGACAAACATAAGTGTCCCAATGGGAATTGCGACCTCACATTCCCTTTGGGGAGGGGCAAGAAATGCCACTCAAGTTAATGGATTTAGTAATTTTTATTTTCACTTCTGGCACGATTTATTCCTTAGCAAGAAACTGACACACCCATTTGTCTCTTTGGGGACTTGAACCCCCACCTTTAACTTCGGGAGGTAGAGGAGATGTTACTAGGTTACTGCCGTTGGTACTTATGGTGTGATTATATCCTTTTCACTTCTGGGTAAGACAAACATAAGGGTCCCAACGGGAATTGCGACCTCCCCTTCCCCTTGGGGAGTGGCAAGAAACGCCACTCAAGTTAGCGGATTTAGTAATTTTAGTTTTCACTTTTGGTGCAATTTATAACTTAGCAAGAAGGTCACACCCCCATTTGCTCTTATGGCACCTTTCACTTCGGGAGGTAGAGGAGATGTTACTAAGTTACTGCCGTTGGTACTTATGGTGTGATTATATCCTTTTCACTTCTGGGTAAAACAAAAACTAAGGGTCCCAACGGGAATTGTGACCTCCCCTTCCCCTTGGGGAGTGGCAAGAAACGCCACTCAAGTTAGCGGATTTAGTAATTTTAGTTTTCACTTTTGGTGCAATTTATAACTTAGCAAGAAAGTCACACCCCCATTTGCTCTTATGGGTACTTGAACCAACACATTTCATTTTTGGAGGTAGAGGAGATACGACTAGGTTACTGCCCTTGGTACTTTTGGTGCAATTCATATTGAATTTCTTCTATCTTTTTTTTTTTTTTTTTTTTTTTTTTCCGTATTCTTTTTTTCTTTTTCTTTTTCTTTTCTTTTTTTTACTGGTTTTGAACCGTTTGGAGAAGTATTTAGGAGTTGACTTTCCTTTTATAGTTATTATATGCTGATCATGTGATTAGACGATCACTCTATTTCTTTCCCATGAAACTTCTAATTGGGAACAGTCAATTTGTTAGAACTTCTTATACCAATCACCTAAACTTATGTTGGTTGTTCACCTTGAAGGATTGAACTAGGTAGGACACCAATAAATTTATCATTGTTGAAGCTGCTGATTCTTTTTTTCTTTCCTCTTTTTGTTTTGGGGGTTGCAGAGTGTATCTTAAACATCAGCTTAGCTGAAGACTTTTTAATAAAATTAAATATAAATAATGGGATTGTGGACTAAGAGCCCATTAGAATTGCTTCCCTATCGCTAAAAAGCGCTTTCATTTTTTAAAAAATACTGTGGTTAGATCATAGATGTGTTCGGTAGCAAGAAAAAGTACCTTTAGTTGGTAGAGATTTCCTAAGGGTCCGTTTGGTTAGGTAGAAGTAGCGGGAAAGGAAAAGGAAAAGTAAAAAATTAAACTTTTTAGGAGCTTGGTTAGAGTGAAAAGAAAATTTTTGGGGAAACTAGGATTCCCGCAAGTGGTTTTATTCCCCAAATGTTTCCCCTATAAAACACATGAAAATTTTACTTTCTCGCAAGAGTTGTTTCTTTTTATTTTAGTTTCCTATTATGCCCATGTCATTTGCTTAGTTGATATGATTATGGAATACTAAAGTTCATACAAAATTGATTATTTATTGACTTACTAAGAAATTATTTTTTGATTCTTTATTGTATTTTTTTTTTCAAGTAATTATTGAGAGTGATATATACATACATATATATATATATATCAAGTATTTGTTGAGAGCATTACTATCAGAGGGTTGGGTGAAAATTAGGATTAGGATTAGGGTTAGTGTTGGGGTTCTATTAGGATTAGGATTAGGGTTAGTGTTGGGGTTCTAGGGGTTTTTGTGTTTGATTAGAATTAGGGTTAGTGTTGTGTTTGGTTGGAGTGTGACTTGGTGCCTCGCTAAAATCTTTTTTTTTTTTCTTTTGATAAGTAAGATTTTATTAAAAACGCTCAAAAGGGGAGCGAAGCCTAAAGAAACAAAAGAAAACAAAAGGGCCAAAGGGCGCCTTAGACCTTCAGAGAGGCCAAGAAAACAATAATTTCCTTCATAGATCTATAATCTCTCCCTAAAACCCAACAAAAAAGAGTAGAAATAACAAAGAACTTAAGCATAGAAACAGGCTTCTTTTTTCCGTCAAAATATCTCCTATTTCTCTCAAGCCAAATACACCACCAGATACAAAGCGGTGTAGCCTTCCAATCGTCCTTAATGCCAGTCCCAACAGAGACGCCTCTCCAAGCCTCAATCAACCCTCTAGAGGAAAAAGGCATGGCCCAATGGACCCTAAATAATCTAAGCATCAAATCCCAACAATCTCTGGCCATGCTGCAATGTAAAAGGAGGTGATCAACAAACTCCTCATTATACAAACACATGTAACAGTGATTGACCACCACCTGATTCCTCCTCCTCAGATTATCCTGGGTTAAAATCTTACCCAGGACAGAGGTCCAAGCAAAAAAGGCGACCATGCGGGGAGCCTTGGACCGCCAAATAAACTTCCCAGGGAAGGGATCTCCATGACCAACCAAAAGGCATCTGAGAAAGGCATCTGAGAAAGGACCTAACCTTAAAACGGCCTTGTGAGTTAGGAATCCAGAACCACCAATCCGAATCCCCAAAACAAATCACCTGGCTATACAACAGCTCCAGAAAACGAGAAACATCCTCGATCTCCCAATCCTGAAAATGCCTCCTGAACTGAACATTCCAAGACAGTCTCCCGTTATCAAGATGATAACAGTCAACAACCATGACCTGTCGATGAGAAGCAATCCTATAAAGCCGTGGGAACGCGATAGCAAGAGAGAGTTCCCCACACCAGAGATCCTTCCAAAAACTGATCCTCCTTCCATCTTTAATACGAAAACGAACATGCTTACAGAAGTCATCCCAACCCCTCCGAATGAAATGTCAAACTCCCACCCCCCTTGGACCACGCATCGCCAGAGAGCACCACCCACCACGACTTTCCCCAAATTTGCTAGCAATAACTTTCCTCCATAACCAATGCCTTTCGATCCCAAACCTCCAGAGCCATTTACCAAGAAGAGCCTTATTAAAAGGCAACAACCTCCGAAACCCTAAGCCTCTAAACCAAATTGGACGGCACACTTGATCCCACCGAACCAAGCGAAATTTGAACTCTTCTCCTTTCCCCCCTTCCCCCCCCCCAAAAAAAAAGTTGCACTGCAATATTTCAATTCTCTCAGCCACTGAAGAAGGAATCTGAAACAGAGATAAGAAGTATGTAGGAAGGCTAGAAAGGGTGCTCTTAATCAGGGTAACCCGACCCCCTTTGGACAGGTACTACTTTTTCCAACGTGCCAACCTCCTCTCGAATCTGTCCACAACCGGATCCCAGCTCCCCACACATCTCGAAGGGGCACCCAAAGGCAATCCTAAATAAGAAAAGGGAAAAGAGCCAGTGCAACATCCAAGGATCTAACCTCGCTAAAATCTTATTATTTTTAATAATTCATTATTTTACTATTTGTTTGCTAAAAATAATAAACAATTGGGTATGAAGGGGATTGATCTAACAAATTCATTTATTTTTTAAATATTTGAAATCACAAGGTTAGTTTTGGTTAGTATAATTATTTTCTTTTCCTTCCATGCTATCCAAACAAACAAAATAATATATTCTCAAATGATAAAAATCCTATTTTCCAGTGTATGAATGATATAGTAAATTAGTAATAAAAGTACTTTAATCAACATTGTTACCAAACATATTTAAAGTGCTTTAAGTATAAAAATTGCTTTATACAACGCATCACCAAACACATAACAGCTTTACTGCTAAAAGCGCTTTCATCATTCTAAAGCAATCATAAACGTGCTCTAAATACATTAATGTGGTGTTTTTTCGTATTTACAAGTGATACATGTTTGGTGCAGGCTGAATTAGTGAATTCTTTCCTGCAGTCGCTGGGTTTTGAGAAACATTCAGTGTTTTTCAAAGATGAGAAAGTATTTGAATTTACTTACCCAAAAAAAGAAGTAGGTGAATTTTATAGCTTTTCGTTGTTTAGTTCAATTTTATGCGCTACCTTTTTGTTTTAACCATTACCTTACGAAATTCTATCACTATTTTGAGGCCTCATGTTTTTATGCAGATCGATAAAGCCACCCTAAAACACATGACTGATGAGGATCTCAAGGCTTTAGGATTACGAATGGTAAAGTTTTTCTCTATTTACCATTACTCCTTTAGAAACTTTATTGCTTGGCTGTTTGATACTTGTAAATATAGAATTTATGGTAAAGTACCCCCTGAGGTTTTTTAAAATTACCTTTGATTGAAACTAGTTGAAAAACTGTTGTCAAACATTCGTTGAAAAATCGCCCTAACCACCTCTGCCATCAATCAACTATAGGTAGACAAAGGAGTAACTTTATATTCCGGTAGAGATAGACACTCATTGCCTCGTAAGAAATTACACTGGTAGAGACGTTGAACACTGAACTGAGTATGCCCACTTAATGCTTAGGCATGGTGCTGGATACCCAAGCCTTGCACGATATACCACTCCACGAGACCTCCGCTCGCCATCAGTGTTTCACACTCATTCATCATCTCTACCCCCACACACACACATATTTCTATGAGACTACATCTCCCTAAACTTCAATGCCCCTTTGCACTCACTCTCGCCATCAGTGCTTCACCCACTCACAAACATTGACTAGCACACAATCTTGGACCAAGACAGCTTGCATACAGCATTCATTGCTGACAAACTTCACCACCACTTAGAGATTATTGGCAGCAACATGCACACACATTAATCATCCAATTAACCAAACACACATCACATGACCAATAAATTTGAGCCTTAATTTGTGCCAATTTCTAACATTCCCCGTTTGAACGCTTTCTAAAACATTACTTACCAAAAAAGAAGAAAAAAAGGTTTCTGGAGGGTCCTTGGAATAGTTGATTGACTATGTGACTTTGTGAACATACAATACAAGTTCCATTTTTATAGTGGCCACAAGTCATCTCTTTAATGCTCTACGGAAATACTTAAATACATAGCTGGCTAAAAATTTCTTTCTTTCTCTGTCTGAATTTCCCATCTAAAGTAAAAGGGCTCAGCATGGAAGAGTCATTACCACTAGGCTGTTTTGACAGGGAAAAGAAATATCAAAGTAATTCTTGTTTAGACCCTAATACCTCTTTGGATTTTTGGAAGAAAAGCTGCCATCATTGATCTCTCCATAAAATAAGGAACTGATGCTTGAGTTTGTGAATTGAGCTGAACTAGATGTGCAATCTTGCACAATCTATTTCACTCGAACTGTAAAGGAAGTATAAATTAAAAGATATAACTAGTGGTATTCCTATTGGTGTAGGGGTTCAAAGCTTCGCCTTGATGTGCTTAATGAGTCAGTCTTTGGATTTCTGTAATTCAAAAACTGAACTTTTTGATTTAAGACTTATGTTGATCACATTTCACAGCCAGTCTTTCACATTCTTCAAGGATCTCTTCTACCTCGGTATCATTTTCTTCCTCTTATTCTTTCTGAGCTTCAGGTTATTTAAGCAATGCCATGAACAGACAATCATCTTCTTGATTCTCTTTCGGTTTTTCTTCTTTTGGAGTTGTATCTTAGTCAAAGACCAAGGCTTTTCTTCCAAATCTTCCTCTGTTGTTGAATGAGTCAGGCTTCTTTTGGTTTTGACCATTGGTGTGGGACAATTAGCTGTGAAAATAGAGTTACGCGGGGTGCGGAAACAGTTAGTTGATTTTAATTGTGATTAACTCCTTTAATGACCTAGATCTGATTATTAGGTCAACTTGCTCAATTTATGATTGGTTAAATATATGATCAATTTAAACATCCACAATCACAAATATAAATACTGTAAAGTAAAGCAAGTAAAAGTTTAGAGAGATTGCACTAGGATTTTAGCGAGGAAACCCCAGTTGATAAAATACGTCAACTGTTTGCATGAGAAAAACCTCGTGGATTATTCAGTCCAAAGTAAACCGATCCATTATGTTTGAAACAAAGTACACCGAACTTTGACTCTGGTTCACACCCTATCGTTCTACCAAACACCAATTGCTGACAATCCTTTGTCTTTGCGACTCCCCGTCCAACAACAACTTGACCTCAGGCTTATGCTTGATATTTGTAGAAGAGTAGCAGGTAGATTAGACAACACTCCTCGAATGCTCCAACCCTTTCAAAGTGTGATCACTTTTACTTCTGTTTTTCAAGATCTGAACTCAATGTAGAAGAATTAAATCCTGTTCTTCATTCAGAATATCTGAATCTTCATGAATATAGCTCCAATTCCGATGAGATAGAGAACAACACTACTAAATCACTCATGAATATATGTGTATGCTCTCATAAATAAATTCAGAACAATCAAATTTGAATTTCTGGATTTTCTCTCTCTAAAAGGCTTTCTCAAAATATGGAATTAATTTTCCCTAAAGCCGTGAAATAAACCTATGTGTATGACAAGGTTTATATAAAGTTTATAAAATCCTAATCCTTCTGAAAATATGAAAAATTTCGTACATAGGACTTGGAAAGAAGTTGGGATCAAAAAGGAAACATTCAGAAGAAGGAAACTAAAATTGGAATAGTACCAGGACTTATTGAACCGGTTCAAGATTGGCAGAGTGTATTCGAAGCCAACCTTGAGCATCTTGAACTGGTTCAAATTTGGCAGACTTGATTTCCTTCGTTCCTTCAGCCTAAACTCATTCTACGTTAAGTTCTCAACAATATGGAAAGTGTAGAATGTGTCCAACCCTGTTTAGAATCCTTCCTAATGTGTTGTTCTTACCTTTTTCCTCAAATGATATTAATTGTAGTAACTTTGAACAACATCTCCAATTCCGTAGTGCTTTTGATCTTGATAACTTGCAGTACAAGTAACTTGAATTACAACTCGACATGGACTTGTTTTGACAACGAAATTAGCCAATTACAAAATATATATCTCACAATCTCCCCCTTTGGCAATTTCGTGACAAAACCCTAAAAACAATTCAGCAATCTACCCACACAGGAAAGTAAATTATAATGATTGTTAAAGGAAATAATCTTGAACCTCATGAAGCTTCAACACATGTAGCAACCTGTAATCTACACATTAACTCAAACACAACTACCCGTGAAGCTTAATCAAGAAAATAAGCACAAGCATAAAATAACAAATTTTAATGCCTGAATATCAACGCAATGTAAACACATGCAATGATCAATGGTTATGCTCTCAATGCAAAAAGTTCTCCCCCTTAATGCAAAAATATCTCTCCCCCTGAATGATATGACTCTAAACTCTCTCCCCCATTTTGTCACAAATTAACAAGGGTCACAAGGAAGAAATATCCTAGAAGTAGAAAGCAACCAACCATATAAATCTTGTAAATTGAAACCAATTAGAATTTAGACTCTGCAAGATTATATGTATTAACAGAAATAACCAAGATCAATTTAATGAAGTTCCACAAACTTTGTAAGTGTATTAAAATCACCACCAAGTTCTAAAAACATATGATCTGTCAATTGTTCAGATTTCAGATAATAAATCAATGATATCACATATCCTTAGAAATCAAACAATCAACATGTGCAAAAGACATTTTTTTTTTAATCTCTCTTTGTGCTCTACTTTTCTTTTTGCACATTGGTGGCTTTTACGCTTATGGGCAGCCAGCTCTTTCCCTTATTCCCATTTGTTTCGAGACAAGGTAGCTTTCGGACAAATCCCAAAGGTAACCTTTTCCATCTCACATTTGTCAAAACAACAAATATTTTTCTTTTTTTTTCAAAAACTTTTTCATTCCAAGCTGTTTTTCAATTTTCTTTTCTTTTCACTCTTTTGGTCTAAAACACATAAATCAAGTTTAAATTTTAAGACAATGATCAATCATATCAATATTATTTTTGACCAAAACAATGATATCTCAAGTAAATGTACTATTAATGATTCATTTACTATACAAAATAAGTAAACAAAACCAATTTCATCAATATATAGCCATTGTATGCTTTCCACAGATAATCCACGTGTCATTAAACTCCTTGTGTTCAACATACTCAATCAATATGGTTTGCTTAACTTCCCAAAAACATAATCTAGACTCTCAAGATATGCATGAAAATCCAAGGAGTTCAACATACTCAATCAATATGGTTTGCTTAACTTCCCAAAAACATAATCTAGACTCTCAAAAAAAAGATATGCATGAAAATCCTTTATAGACTATGTCTTTGCAATGCATCTAATCAAGACAACAGACACCAATAAATTTCCTAAAATGAGAAAACTTAGGAGCATCTAATGGGAACTTGTTGAACAAAATGTCGTGTCTTTGGAAAAAGTGCATATTTATCAGAATTTGGCCGATATTCTCTCTAATTAAAAAGCAGCTCAGTTATTCTTAGTTGTGTAGGTTGATGCAGAATAATGCCATTTCTGGTCCTATTCCTGCTGCAATTGGGAAGTTGGAGAAGCTTCAGACACTTGATATCTCGAGCAATAAGTTCAATGGTGCAATTCCTAGTTCTCTTGGGAATATCAAGAACCTGAAATATTTGTAAGTTTCAAGATTCCCATCCAACCTTGACTTTCACCTGAATTATTTAACATTTAGGAGTATAATGATTTTTAATTTGCCTCCTGTGTTTTTCTTTTTCCTTCTTTTCCCTCCTTTTTCTGCACAAGTCAGGCGACTAAATAACAACAACCTTACTGGACCCGTTCCCCAATCTCTGTCCAAAGTTGAAGGTCTCAATCTTGTGTATGTCTCTGTACTTTTTTCAACCTTAAGTTCAATTTTAACATGCAGAGCACAGAAAGATACTTCTAAAAACTCAAATTTACTTTTCATCCACAGATGTTTTCACAATTTTAAGTTACAATTGCTTGTAGGGACCTTTCTTTCAACAATCTCAGTGGTTCCTTGCCAAAAATATCAGCGAGAGCTTTCAAGTTGGTCATTCTTTCCTGTGTTCCATACTGATCCATTTCTTGTCTCTGTTATACTTTTATTATTGAAGTTCTATTGCTGCTTCTTTCTGCTTTCAGAATAATAGGCAACACTTTAAACTGTGGGCAGAATTCTGGGAGCAATTGTTCTGTTGTGTATTCAGAACCACTTTCCTTCTCACCAGATGGTGTAAGAGGTGTCTATCACTCAGCCAAATATTCTGTTTGCTACATTTTTATGAAATCTTTATTATTAAATCACTGCTTTCCCAGCTGGGTCAGAATCTGGGACTAAAACCCACAATGTGGCTACTGCTTTTGGCACAAGCTTCAGTGCTGCTTTTGTGATCATAATGCTTATTGGGTCACTTATTTGGTGGCGATATAGACACCACCAACAGATTTTCTTTGATGTTACTGGTTAGTTCTTTCTGTATATTGTCTTCGTTTCCATGATGTCTAATGTCAATGTGCTTAGTCCTAGAATGCAAAACTGAATTCTTTGAAATATTAATTATACTAGTATTATCACAAAAGATAGCAATAGTATCTTGACTAACTCCATAATCCAGAAGCAATCATTTCATCCAAAGCAATTGTGTGCAACAATTTCCAGCAGCAATGTATTCAGCCTCACAAGATGATAAAGATATACAATTTTGCTTCTTACTATACCATGAAACAAGTTTAGTACCTACCAACATAGAAACAACCTCTATCATTCTTGTTACCAACCCAATCAGCATCAGTATATCCTACGTTCTCAGAGTTAGACTCAGAAGAATAACGCAGTCCATAATTCAATGTACTATTGACATAATGAATAATGTGCTTAACTGCAAGAATGTGTTGTTCTCTATGATCAACTTGATACCTAGTACAAACACCTACACTAAATGAAATATATGGCCTAATTGCTGCCAAATACAAGCAGCTACCAATCATACTCCTATACAAGAAATGATCAACCTTGTTAGGATCAAAGTTTCTATCCAATTTGGATGAAGTACTCATAGGAGTTTGAACATGCTTTAAATCTTTCATACTAAATTTCTTAACTAGCTCCTTTGCATATTTTGATTGAGATATGAAAATCCTATCATCAAGTTGTTTCACTTGAAGACCTAGAAAGAAAGTCAGTTCACCAACCATGCTCATTTCAAAAGTATTACTCATATCATTAGAAAAATTATGAACAATGTTATCATATGTAGCACCAAAAACAATATCATCCACTTATATTTGAGCAACAAGAAAATCTTTTCCTTTTTAGAAAATAAACAATGTTTTATCTGCTCCTCCTCTTCTGAAGCCCTTGTGTATTAAATAAGAAGTCAATTTCTCATACCGCGCTCTAGGTGTTTGCTTTAAACCATAAAAAGCCTTTTTAAGATGAAAAACAAAATCGGGATTATGTGGACCAATAAAACCTTTTGGTTGTGTTACATAAACTTCTTCCTGCAAAATACCATTTAGAAAAGCACTTTTAACATCCATTTGAAACAATTTGAATTTAAAGTGACATGCAAGAGCAAAAAGAAGTCGAATAGAATCAAGTCTAGCAACAGGTGCAAAAGTCTCATCAAAATCAATTCCTTCAACTTGAGTGTATCCTTATGCAACTAATCTAGCTTTATTTCTCATCACAAGACCATGTTTATTAAGTTTATTTTTAAAGATCCATTTGGTCCCTGTGATATTAATATCACTAGGTCGAGGCACTAATTCCCAAACATCATTCTTCACAAATTGAAGCAATTATTCTTGCATAGCCATAAGCCAATAAGAATTTTGAAGAGCATCATCAAAATTCTTAGGTTCAAATTGAGCCATGTGACATGAATGTCTTATGTCATCTACAATGCATGAATGTCCTATATGATCACGGACTGTACTCCTAGTACCATGCTGATCCCATGGACCTATCACTTTGTGAATTGGATGACTTGATCGAACTCTAGAACTGCTAGATGTGGGAATATCTAAAGATGGTGCAAGAATTCCAATAGGTACATCAGGGGTGACCTCTAATTCCTCATCCTCATCTTCTTCAACCTTTTCATCTTCTCCACCTAAATTCTCAAGTCTTTCTATTGTAGGTTTTTTCCTTTCTCCTGCAATTTTAAAATTAGTTTCTTCTTCAAGTTGAGAAGAGGTTATTTTAGATTTTGTATCATCAAAAACCACATTTATAGACTCCATGACCACTTTGGTTCTAAGATTAAAAACCCTATAAGCTCGACTTGTTTGTGAATTACTCAAAACACACCTTCATCATTTTTAAAGTCAAATTTTCCCCAAGTGTACCCTATCTCTAAGGATATAACATTTACTTCCAAAGACTCTAAAGTATTTAACAGTGGGCTTTCTATCATACCACAATTCATATGAAGTCTTTTTAGTTCTAGAAATAAGATAAACTCTATTTAGGATGTGACAAGCAGTACGTACTGATTCAGTCCAAAAATGACTTGCAATTTTGTTCTCATGAAGCATAGTACGTTCCATACCTGCATTTGTCTTATTTTTCCTTTCCACTACACCATTCTGTTGTGGTGTTTTAAGTGCTGAAACTTCATGCTTAATACCGCTCTTATCACAAATTCAATAAACTCCTTAGGTTCGAATTCATCTCCATTGTCGCTTTTAATCCGATTAATTCGATATCCCTTCTCATTTTAAAAAAGTTGGCAAATAGACCTGAAATTCACAAACGTATCAGATTTTTCTCTCAAATATGCAACAAACATAAATTTAGAAAAATCATCAACCATAACAAGCATATATATATTTCCTCCAATGCTATCAGGTGTTATGCGACCCATCAAATCTATATGAATCAATTTTAAAGGTCGAGAAGTGACTTTATGAACAAGTCTCTTATGTAACACTCTAGTTTGTTTTCCTAATTGACATGGACCACATATTTCATTCTTAGACATTTTCAATTTAGGCAAACCTCGAACAAGATCATTACTAGACAAATTTACTAAATCATTAAAATTCACATGTCCAAGTCTTTTATGCCATAAAACAGCCTCATCAGTAACTGCAGAAAAATTAATGAAGGATCTGAAAATACAACATAGCAATTATCAGAAGTTCTAGTTCCTTTCAAGATGTATTCACCTTTTTCATTAGTTACAAAACACCCTTGTTGAGTAAAATTGACTTGAAACTCCTCATTACAGATTTGACTAATACACAACAGATTAGTAGTTAAACCTTTAACATATAGAACATTCTTTAACTCCCCAATTCCTGAAAATTTGATCATACCTTTACCACTTACAGTAGAAGCATTACCATCACTAAAAGTAACATCACCAACTGAGCATTCCTTAAAAGTGGTAAACAATGTTCTATCCCCTGGCATATGCCTAGAGCAACCACTATCAAAGTACCAACAACATGGACCAAGTGTTCTAAGTGCTGTGTGCATGGCAAGGCATTTAAAATTCTCTTTCTTTACCCAAACAATTTTAGATTCATTATGCAATGATTTCCCTATTATTCTAGGCAAAGTGTCACAAGGCTCAACAGTCCTAATCCTCTTCTTCTTCAAATTTGAACTCTCTAGATTTTTCAATTTATTTCCTAGTTCAATTTTTCTTTTCTGACACTTATACTTGATATGCCCCTTTTCACCACAAAAATGACATGTTAAAATAAGTTTGGTAGAACTAGAAATGACATAAGGTTTGGTTTCAACTTTCACAAAAACATCTTTAGATTTTTTAAAATACAAATCATTTGAAGTTGAAGCTAATTCTTTGTTATGCCTAATATTCTTAACCACTCCTTTCAACTTATCAATTTTGTAAGTGTCAAATTCAACTTTCTGAAAAGACTGTTTTGATTTAACAAATTCACTACTCAAATTATCAATTTTTAGTTCTAGTGATTTATTAAACAAATTTACCTTCTTAAGTTCCTTTTCCAGAAAATCAATTTTATGAAGAAGATTCAAATTCTTATGGCCAATTTCTTCCAAATTTTTATTAGAGACGGAAACTTCAAACTTATAAATATCTCTATCAAGTTCCGCAAGATTCAATTTCTCTAACAGATTTTCAAAATCCTTTTTAAACTTCGACCACTCAATTTGCATGCTTGTGATAGAATAAAAAACAGGAGGTAATGCATCAACAGATGAATTTTCAGACATGATGCAAATACAATCAACAAATATGTATGTCGAGTATCCCGCTCTAATACCAAATTATAAAAATAGAGTTGTGAGGGGTGCGGAAACAGTTAGTTGATTTTAATTGTGATCAACTCCTTTAATGACTTAGATTTGATTATTAGGTCAACTTGCTTAATTTATGATTGGTTAAATTATATGATCAATTTAAACATCCACAATCACAAATATAAATACTGTAAAGTAAAGCAAGTAAAAGTTTAAAGAGATTACACTAGGATTTTAGCGAGGAAACCCTAATTGATAAAATACGTTAATTATTTGCATGAGAAAAACCTCGTGGACTATTCAGTCCAAAGTAAACTGATCCACTATGTTTGAAACTAAGTACACCGAACTTTGATTCTGGCTTACACCCTATCGTTCTACCAAACACAAATTGTTGACAATCCTTTGGCTTTGCGACTCCCCGTCCAACAACAACTTGACCTCAGGCTTATGCTTGATATTTGTAGAAGAATAGCAGGTAGATTAGGCAACACTCCTCGAATGCTCCAACCCTTTCGAAGTTCGATCGCTTTTTCTTCTGTTCTTCAAGATCTGAACTCGATATAGAAGAATTAAATCATGCTCTTCATTCGGAATATCTGAATCTTCATGAATATAGCTCCATTTCCGATGAGATAGAGAACAACACTACTAAATCACTCATGAATATATGTGTATGCTCTCATAAATAGATTCGGAACAATCAGATTTGAATTTTTAAATTTTCTCTCTAAAAGGCTTTCTCAAAATATAGAATTGATTTTCCCTAAAGCCGTGAAATAAACCTATGTGTATGACAAGGTTTATATAGAGTTTATAAAGTCCCAATCCCTCTGAAAATATGAAAAATTTTGTGCATAGGACTTGGAAAGAAGTTGGGATCAAAAAGGAAACATTCAGAAGAAGGAAACTGAAATTAGAATAGTACTAGGACTTCTTGAACCGGTTCAGAGGGGCTGAACCGGTTCAAGATTGGCAGAGTGCCTCTGAACCGGTTCAAGATTGGCAGAGTGTATTCGAAGCCAACCTTGAGCATCTTGAACCGGTTCAGAGGGGCTGAACCGGTTCAAGTTTGGCAGACTTGATTTCATTGGTTCCTTCAGTCTAAAATCATTCTACGGTAAGTTCTCAACAATATGGAAAGTGTAGAATGTGTCCAACCCTATTTAGAATCCTTCCTAATATGTTGTTCTTACCTTTTTCTTCAAATGATCTCAATTGTAAT